TGCCAACGGACGGGAGGGCGAGGGATGACGAACTATGACTCTCAATACAGTGGCAAAATGCAAGGAGATTAAGGATGATCAAAGGTGAATGTAAATTTAACTTCATACGAGACGAGGATTCTAGTATTTTGTATCAAATCTGTTACCGTGTATATTTATGTAGCATATCTTGTGTATTATTTGAGGAGATATTTTAGGGATAATTAGTATCTTGTGATTAGTTTGTTTCCTTATTTTAGGATGTAATCTTGGTTATATATTTTGGCTAATCAGAATTCTCTGATCATCACGTTTGGATGAATCAGTTCCCCAGTATTTTTTTTTGACATGGTATCAGAGATCGGTTATTTTTTTTTCCTCTTAAATTCTAAGTCTCGATCAACTGAGACTCAATTTTTTGCTGCTCTCGATCAACGAGCCTGTTTCAACATTAAAAAAAAATCCTTTTTTTTTTCAGGTCTCGACAACTGAGGCCTCTTTTCAATTTTTCTTCTTTTCTCTCGTGATTTTTTGTTTTGGTTTAGCCAATTTGAGTGGGGCCTGCAATAAATTCGCTTCAATTTTGGGGGTTTCTTTTCCTTTCAATTGGGCAGTAAGTCCTGCTATTGTTTTGAGTAGCTGGGCGAAATATTTTGTATTTTATTTCTTGTTCAATTAAGAGCATCAATTCGTATTGAGCGAAATATTTTGTATTTTATTTCTTGTTCAATTAAGAGCATCAATTCGTATTGAGTTGATCTGGAGTGGGTAGGAACATTAACTTCATTCAGCTTTGTTTTCTTTGGGTTAAGAGTGTGCGTTCGTTCCAAAAAAAAAAAAATCCCAGCGAGAATTATGGGGAAACCGAGTAATGGAGGAACCGCGGCTCACGCCGGGGGACGAGCTGATCATGGCGGACGCGGTGATGGACTAGCCGCTACTGGCCTTGTCAACGCCGCCTTCGCTAACGGGGCTGCACTTAACAACTCTAGCTCCATACATGGTGGGTCCATATCCTCATTGACGGACTCCGATAGGGCGGCTATTTCTGGATTGACTGAGGCCCAATGGGAGTCTATTGTACACCTCGTCACTTCTGCCCGCAACAATACTCCTTTGTCTGGCAAGCGTAGTCCTTATGAGTGGATGGATGATAGTGGTGCTTCACATCATATGACGGGCTACTTAGAATTTTTTTCTGATATTTGGGATATTTCGTCTCAGTCTGTGCAGTTACCTAATGGCACGCTCACCACTGCGTGTAAAGTTGGAACTGTTCATCTCGGTTCTCGTATTATTTTATATGATGTTTTGTTCGTTGACAGTCTTCAGTGCAGCTTGATAGCTTTATCTCGGTTGTTGGAACAATCTGGTTGTGTTGCTACATTCACTAGTAAATATTGTGCTATTCAGGACCTCACTTCGAAGATAGTCATTGGAGCAGGTGAACAATTAGGGAGACTATATTTTTTCCGAGGGGCAATCACTGCGAATGCTTCTCGGGTGTCTTCGGTTATGTCGCACTTATGGCACCAGCGGATGGGTCATCCATCTTCTACTGTTCTTGGTCAATTGCCTTTTGTCGAGTCTCACTCCTTGGTCTCGAATAAAGCTTGTGATGTTTGTTGTCGGGCGAAGTAATCTCGTGCTAGCTTTCCTCTTAGTCGCAGTATCAGCAGTTCCATTTTCAGTCTGATTCATTGTGATGTGTGGGGACCTTATAGAGTTCCTGCCTTTAGTGGTGCTCGATATTTTTTGACTATTGTTGACGACTATTCTCGAGGTACTTGGATTTTCTTATTGGATGACAAATCTTCGGTGTCTTCTACTTTACTGCAATTTTTTGCCTTTGTAAAAAGGCAATTTGGTGTGTTGGTTAAAACTCTTCGCAGTGACAATGGGACTGAATTTACCTGTATGCGCGATTATTTCCGTCAACAAGGGATTGTTCATGAAACTTCTTGTGTCAGAACTCCTCAACAAAATGGACGTGCTGAGCGCAAACATCAGCACATTCTTAATGTTGCTCGAGCATTACGCTTTCAGGCCCATTTACCGATTGAGTTTTGGGGACATTGTGTACTTGCTGCTGGCTATTTGATTAATCGCACGCCTACTCCTCTTTTATCCGGCAAGACTCCCTATGAACTTTTGTATGGCGAACCTCCCAACTATGCGAATTTGTGTGTTTTTGGATGTTTGTGTTACGTGCACAATCAGAATAGGGATGGTGACAAGTTTGCAAGCCGGAGTCGTCGATGTGTTTTTGTTGGCTATCCATCCGGTCAAAAGGGGTGGTGTGTTTATGATTTGGACAACCACATTTTTCTGGTCTCACGTGATGTGAAATTCTGTGAATCAGAGTTCCCTTATTTGACGTCTACTGCTCTTGATACTGCCTCCGCACCTGTGGTTCCATGGCCAGTTGTTTCTGATGACGATGATGATGTGGTGGTTCCCACTACAACGCGTACCGCTGCCACTGGGGGTTCTGAGGTCATTGTCGATAGGGGGGGTGATCCTCTCCAAGAGGAAGTGTTGGGTCGAGGTCATCGCCTCAAGAGGCCCTCTTCCCGTCTTGTTGACTTTGTCTCTCACACTGTTTGTTCTTCGTCTCCCCACTATGCCTCCTCCATCGCATCATCATCTGGTACTCCTTATCCTCTTCCACACTATGTTTCTTGTGATTCCTTTTCACCTGCACATCAGTCATTTCTGGCAGCCATTTCTTCTGCTGTTGAGCCTCGGACCTTTTCCGAGGCTATTCGAGATAGTCGCTGGTGTTCGGCTATGCAACTGGAGATTCGAGCACTGGAATCGAACCATACGTAGGATATCGTTTCTCTCCCTACTGGGAAACACGCGATTGGTTGCAAGTGGATTTATAAGATTAAACATAACTCTGATGGTTCTGTTGAGCGCTACAAGGCGCGTTTGGTTGTCTTGGGCAACCGGCAGGTGGAGGGCATTGACTATCAAGAGACATTTGCATCTGTCGCTAAGATGGTCACTGTACGGACTTTTCTAGCTGTTGCAGCTGCTCGACATTGGGAGGTTCATCAGATGGACGTGCACAATGCGTTCTTGCATGGAGATCTGTCTGAGGAGGTCTACATGAAACTTCCTCCTGGTTTTCATTCGCCTGATCCTGGTAAGGTGTGTCGATTGCGTCGTTCTTTGTATGGTTTGAAGCAAGCTCCTCGTTGTTGGTTCGCCAAGCTTGCTACTGCCCTTAAGCAATATGGTTTTGCGCAGTCTTATTTGGATTATTCTCTTTTTACTTTAGATCGTGATTCTGTGCATTTACATGTCTTGGTTTATGTTGATGATCTCATCGTCTCTGGGAGCGACCCTGCTGCTATCACTACCTTTAAAGAGTACCTGGGTCGCTGTTTTCATATGAAGGATTTGGGAGTCCTGAAGTATTTTCTAGGCATTGAGGTTGCTCGGAACACCTCTGGTATTTTTCTATGCCAGAGAAAGTTCACTCTTGACATCATTGTCGAGACAGGCTTGCTTGGCGGCAAGCCAGTTGACTTTCATATGGAGCAGAATCATCAGCTCCCATTAGCCGAGGGACCTTTATTCTCTGATCCTGAGAAATATCGTCGGTTAGTGGGCCGTTTGATTTATTTAGCTGTGACTCGTCCTGACTTGTCGTATGCCGTGCACATGCTCTTTCAATTTATGCATCAGCCTCGTCAAACACACTGGGATGCCGCTATTCGTGTGGTCCGATACTTGAAGGGTACGCCAGGCCAGGGTATTCTTCTTCGTTCTGACTGTGATTTGCAGATTTATGGTTGGTGCGACTCTGATTGGGCGACTTGCCCTACTACCCGTCGGTCCCTCACCGGTTGGTTCGTTCAGCTTGGCCACTCTCCAATATCGTGGCGTACTAAGAAGCAACACACTATTGCTCGTTCCTCAGCCGAAGCTGAGTATCGCGCTATGGCGACCCTTACTTGTGAATTGAAGTGGCTACGGGGTCTGCTGCGCAGTCTTGGTGTGGCTCATTCACAGCCGATGCGGACTCACTGCGACAGTCAGGCGGCTCTTCACATTGCCGCTAATCCGGTGTTCCATGAGCACACCAAGCACATTGAAGTTTACTGTCATTTTCTCCGTGATGCTCTCGTCCAGGGTCTCATTTCTGCTACTCATGTTTCTACTCATTCCCAGCTAGCAGATATTTTCACAAAAGCCTTGGGCAAGCGGGAGTTTGATTTCTTCCTTGGCAAGTTGGGCATTCGAAACCCGCATGCTCCAACTTGAGGTGGGGTGTTACCGTGTATATTTATGTAGCATATCTTGTGTATTATTTGAGGAGATATTTTAGGGATAATTAGTATCTTGTGATTAGTTTGTTTCCTTATTTTAGGATGTAATCTTGGTTATATATTTTGGCTAATCAGAATTCTCTGATCATCACGTTTGGATGAATCAGTTCCCCAGTATTTTCTTTTGCCAAAATCTAAACTTTTTGATAATTTTAGTTATCCCAGTCGATTGTGGGTTAATTGATCCCATGAGTTTCAGACTTTTCATGATGAGACTGTGATAAATCCTTCATATGTATGCGGTACTTATCCCATACTACACAAAACGAGCTCTAAATGATGTCTAAATAATATTGTACTCCAAAATAATAAATTGGTGATGCAGTTAAATTAAACGAGTCTGGCTTGGCTCGTGTTCGGCTCGAGTTCGAGGCCTTAACAAATCGAGCTCGAGTTTATTTAAAATTCGTTTAGTTAACAACCCAGCTCGATAAGGCTCGTTAAGACTCAAAAAGAGAATTTTTATATAATTTTTTATAGTTCGCTTCGTTAAAGCTCGAGACCTTAACGAGCTTGTCTCGTTAAGGGCTCGAGTATCTTAAGCTCGAGCTCCGCTCGTGTACATGCCTATCCACATATTAAATCTTGTACATGTTAAATTTTGCAACAAATATATCTGAACCATTCATCTAAAACAACCTCTAAACCATATTTGCCCCATAATCCCACCCAATGCTGACTTTGTTTCCCTTCCTTTTTTTTTTTTATTATTGACAATGAGTCAATGAACTTGGGAAAAAAAAGGTCCTTTGCGCCGCTGATCACCTTTTCCGTATCTTAAGTTATTTGATTCTTGAGTTTGATTCTAAAGTCGGATACAATTAGGTCAATATCACTGTTTTGAACACACCTTCAAAGTGGAAAAGTAGTGAGCTATTATAAGCCCAACAAGAAAAACGTGTGAATAAACCACCGTCCACCGCCTGCAACTGCCATGAACCCACCCACCACAGCCCAAACTCCGGCCATTGCCGTGAACCGACCACCGGCCAGCCTCAATTTTAACAAGCCCTGAAAGTTGACAACTTGACATATAGACGCACCATTATTACTGCTATAAAATAGGAAATCTGACGACTCAATTTGGTACGTACTAATTTATCGTTTACCTCTTACAATTCATCTCTCTCTCTCTCTCTCTCTCTCTCTCTCGGTGTCTCTCCGGTTTTACAAACAAAAAAAAACCCACCATATTTTTCTTGTTGTATACATTTTTATTTGATTAAATTAAATATTCAATAGAACACATGCTCTAACTGAGAATCCTTTGGGAATATTACGAAATTTTGTTCCTTTTAACCATTATTTTAATTTAATCATCTTCTGTGTGTTGTTTGTCACCTCCCTAAATCCTCTCCTTGTGGCCACCAATCCCTCTTCAAATTTCCTCGCCTTTTCCACTCTCTTTGACATTACGACGAACACTTGGCAGACACAAAGTTTCACTCAGACAAACAAATAACTCCTCTTCTCTTCTCTTCTCTCTCTGTCCAATCACCAATCTTTACCCAGGTCTAATGAAAACCCATTTTCCCAAACGGCATAATTTGTAAGAGACCACTGAAAAAAAAGGGAAAAAGAAGAAGAGTATATGAATATGCAGTCTTCAGCTGTGAGCCAAGAACCCTCAATACCACTTGGTTTTGTATCCCAATTGGGCTCTTTAGTATTCAGCTCGTCCAGTTTAAACCCTGAGCTACAGTCGGCCTATTTGTCCAGCTTTTTGTGCTTTGATGCCCTGAAGAAGCCCAAATCTGTGGCCTCGTTGAGCCTGAGAAGTAAAGGCGCCGCCTTCAGCATCACAAGATTTATAAATGAGTTCAATAATGCTGTTAAATTCCATTGCGAGAGAATCCCACTCGGGTTCGCCTTCGACTCAGGGGAGAATAATGGGTCTGCGGATGATGGGAATGGGGTTTTGGAGAGCTCAGAGGGAGTTTCTGCTAGTGCCGTCGTGCCGGATGCCCCGAAAAAGGTTCTGATACTGATGAGCGATACGGGTGGGGGCCACAGAGCTTCTGCCGAGGCCATTAAAGCAGCTTTTAGAGAAGAATTTGGGGATGAATATCAGGTATTGTTTGTTTTGGTAGAATGTGAATAATGCAGCAATTCATGTTTGATTCATATGTTCCGATTTGGTTTCCCTTTTCTTTAGGGGGGTCTTGGGGGTTGTTCAGTTTTATTTCTGAAGAGACATATGGTACCTGGTCCTTTAAAGCTTGTACCTTTACCTGACACAATCAGTCCTGGGGAGAAGAGAGCCAGTGTTTGTTGTTTTCTCAGTTAGAAAACACGAAAGAGTGTCTTGAAAGTGTCTGAGGACGGGATGTTGTGCTAATTTGTGAATACACATATTGGGGATTTTGTCCTAAATTTTACTTTCTTTCAGGCATTGTAAGGCATGTGTTCTTGTTGAACGTGTTTGGTGTGTTAAATGATGTCTTTTTTTACAGGTTTTTGTTACGGATTTGTGGACAGATCATACTCCTTGGCCCTTCAATCAGCTACCAAAGAGCTATAACTTCCTCGTAAAACACGGTACACTCTGGAAAATGACATATTATGCTACTGCTCCGCGTGTCATTCACCGAACCAATTTTGCTGCCACCTCAACGTTTATAGCTCGGTAAGTACAATTTGATTTCACATTTTGTTTAAGGTTCTTGATGCTACTTAAGATAAATATTGTTGTTATTTTCATATGAAATAGAGTAGTTGATAATCTTATAATCGCTGTGGTTTTCTCAACTAATGGCTAATTGTGCATTATCAAATTTTGACATTCCGGTTGTAACTTCTTTTTCAAAGCAGTTATAATTCTCATCTCTATCAGCTCCACCTGGGTTACTAGTTCATAATTTCAATCAAGAGCATCTTTGTTTCTTTACTGAAAAAGATAGACAATCTCCGTATATTTATGAGATCTTGCATCAGCCCTAATACACCATTCTCACCAAACCCTCAATATCTTTTACCTTAGGGAGGTCGCAAAAGGATTGATGAAATACCAGCCAGATATTATTATCAGTGTACATCCTCTAATGCAACATGTTCCACTTCGCATTTTGAGGGCTAAGGGTCTATTGAAGAAGATTGTTTTTACCACAGTAGTAACAGATCTGTCCACATGTCATCCCACATGGTACGTCCATCGGCAGTTTTGATGCTAAAATGCATATTTTGTGGGGTTTTGATATATTACAACTAATCATGTTAGGTTTCACAAGCTTGTGACAAGATGCTATTGCCCATCAGCAGAGGTGGCCAAACGAGCACTGAGAGCTGGTCTTCAGAGGTCTCAAATTAAGGTCTATGGTCTTCCTGTTCGGCCCTCATTCGTGAAGCCTGTACGCCCTAAGGTTGGTAATTTGTGCCTTTATTATTTTCCTCCCTTTTTCTTGTGTGTTTCGTAACACAAGTTCTCGTAGGATTGTCATATCAAGTTGAATGGTGGGTCATCTAATTAATAAACGTTTTGTTTTGTATATTTATTTCTTTACTTTCCATTTAATTTGTTTTCCCTTCTTTTTTTAGTATCTTTTTTTTTTCCCTTTCAAATGGAATTTTTGAAGTGCGTGACAATCACACCTATCCTAGATTGATTTGTTGGATTTTTTTGGGCTTACGATATCAATTGTACTCGGAAACTTTTGATAATTTATGTTCATGCTTAATGTATAATGACATTGGTAGACAAATCAATAGTGCTTCTTGAATATGTGTTTGCAGAAATATCAGAATCTTGTATTGTACCCTGTGAAATGAAATTAGAAAATCTGGTGTGAGTAATGCAACAATCCCAATTTTCACGTCTCATTGTATTGCGACTAAGTTGGCATGGCCGGGATTAATGTAATTCAATGCATGTATCTGATATGCCTTTTTATGTTTTTAAGTAGTAGACTTTTTGGATTGGAAAAATTCACAAGGAGACATTACTCATCCTATTGCATAGTCACTTCATATGAATGATGGTCCTTACGAAGGTTCTAATATAAAGAAATTATATAATAATGTGGTAGAGTGAATTAAGAAAGGAGCTGGGAATGGACGAGCACCTGCCAGCTGTCTTGCTAATGGGCGGTGGTGAAGGTATGGGCCCCATTGAGGCCACCGCTCGAGCTCTCGGGGAGGCATTGTATGATGAAACTCGCGGTCAACCAAATGGTCAGGTTCTCGTGATTTGTGGCCGGAATAAGAAGCTACTTAATAAATTGCAATCACTTGACTGGAAGATACCTGTTGAGGTAATAGAAAGGGATATTTGCAAATAACACCCTCATTTTCATTGTAATTGCGTAAACTTCACTTCTACTTCAAAATTACAAATACTGTCATTTTTCTATTGCTTACAACAACTGGTTGTTATGATCCGGAATATCTACGCATGCTGCCTTTTGAGTGTCTAATGTGGCATAGTTTTTTATTTTAAATTTTAGGTGAAGGGTTTTATCACCAAAATGGAAGAGTGCATGGGTGCTTGTGATTGTATTATTACTAAGGTATATTTACTCACTCATACCAGTAGCTCGATTTCCACATTTATGACCTTTCAACCCCTGGAACACTAAATAATGCACCTCTCTCTGTCTCTCTCTCTCTCTCTCTCTCTCTCTCTCTCTCTCTC